GCCAGTGAGGCCTGGGATGGAGGTGTGTGGAGTGCAGGTGGGAGGGAGGGGGCACTGAAAGGGACAAAAGCCAAACAGCAGAAAGGAGATAATGACATCTGGATTCAGCGTGTGGGGGCCCAGGTCACTCTGTTGCCTGGCCTGCCCTTTGCTGGCACCGTCCAGGCTTCCCTGCTCCCAGTATCCCCCTCCCCACCCTGCTTGCCCCTCATTGCCCAGATACTGGTGTCATATTAGCTAGTGGTGGATTGGGACTCCCCCCGACACTGTACCATCTTAGAGGACCTCTGGAAGTAGGGTCCAACCAGCTGAACTGGTACTAAAGGAGTCCACTTTTTTCCCCCTTGCATTTAAAAAGACAGAGGAGGAGAATAGAAAAAGACATTTATTTTCTTTAAAAAAAAATGCACACACACAACTGGTTCATTAATTTCTTATTAATATTCTGTGTTGAGCACAGGCAAGAAAGAAGTAAGGCTGATTCTGGGGAGGAGGCAGAGGAGGAGAACCTGTCCACTGGCTAGCTCTGCTGTCGGAGGCCATGCAGGGCTGCAGGGGTGGGGGACAGAGAGAGAGCCGGCTGGGGGAAGTGCTTGTTCACTGCAGGCAGGGGCTGCCTGGCACTGTCCCTCTCACTCGGTCGAGGAGGAGAAGACTGGTAAGGGGAGGTGAACTGTTTGCAGCTATGCAGCAAACTGCTGACACGGGGGTGGGAGGTGGGGGGAGTTGAACCCAGGTGTCCTTAGTCCTGCCAGCTCTGGTTTAAATGTGAAGAGTCAGGTCTTTCCTCACCTCCTTGTCTGGTGCTGGAGCACCCTAGTGGACACGGTGCAGAGCCCCTCCCTGTTGCTCTTGTGTGTGAGCTGAGGTTTATCTTCCCCGGCTGCTGGAGGGGTGGGACTGCTTGCCATAGGGCCCCAGCCTAGCCTGCCTGGACAAGGTGCCCTGAGCAGGTGCCAGAGGCAGCGGAAGCTGCCAGGCAGCATCCAGAATCCCCATCTGGGCCCTGGAATGGGTCCTGATGCACACTGGCCTCACACTGGGTTCCTGGCCAGTCCCTTCCACCGTGTGGCCACTTGCTCATCCACATGAGGAGTGAAGGAGTGAGACCTGGTGGTTTGGCCATCGCTTCAGTGGGGTGGATGTTGGCTATACATTGAGCTATCAAGGGAGACCCTGACCCAGGTGGGAGGGCTGCACCAGGTGGTCGGAGCTTGGGCCTGTCACTTCTTCATTTCCGCAGTTCCTCACTCATTACCCATCTCGGCCTGGGGTCAGCAGGCTGCCAATAGGTCTGCGGTGCAGAGCCCAGCGTGTACCCAGGGTCCACCCTGCTGTTCCACAGTGGCCTTGCCTCCTCCCGCAGCCAAACACCCAGCAGTCTTCAGAATGGATTCCAATAAAGCTCATTTTCTGCCACCAAGTTTATAACACATCCCCACCTACTGGTCTAAAACATTAACAGGGCTGAGTGGCAGCACCAAGCTCCATGTAGCCAGAAGGGAGAAGAGGCTGTGGGAATGGGGAGGTAGGCAGCCTTCCAGTAATGGGCCTCCCAAGGAACTCCCGTCTTCCCACCTCTCCCCATCCACCCCCATCTCCAATGGGATCCAGAGCCTGGTGAGCCAGGGCATGGGTGAGGGTGTGGACAAACCGCTTGAGAGACTTGAAGCTGCAGGGGTGTTTCCCACACGCACCGAAACCACACACTCAGAGTGTCATGGGGCACCACTTCTGCACCCTGCAAGGTTAGGTGCCCTGTGCCCACTCCATCCCTTCGTGCTTTCCCTGTTGCCTCTGCCCGTGTCCTCCCATGCCCCTCTTTTGCCCCACATTCTGGAGCTCCCCTGGCAACTGGGAGGGTCCCTCAACACACAGTGTTCCTCTTACCCTGTTTGTTCATTCTAAGAACTACTACAGAATGAGGCAGAAGCACAGAAGATGAGGCATCTACCCTTGATGCAGATTTGGGAGGATCTGGAGGGTTGCCCAGGTCAACATGCCCATGTACAGTTCACTAGAGGGCTTAAGAGGGCAGGGAAAAGTGCCAGGGCAGCACTAGGAAGGTCTGGGTTGCTTCTGCTGGAGAGTGAGGAGTTGCTGCGAGAAGACTGCCTGGAGGAGGTGGTACGTGACTTTGAAGGTTGGGGAAGGTTTTCTAGGAGCAGTGTGTTCCACACAGAGGGGCTGGCAGGTGCAAAGGCATAAAGGGAAGCAAGTGAGAAAAGAGGAAACCTCACAGGGTGCATGGAGGGGTATGAGAGGGTAAGACCATGGAAGTGACCACAGAAGATGCAGACAAGTGCATGAAGGTCCTAGGACACTCGTGGAGCCCATAAATGGGCAGCGGGCTGGAAGTATCCGCTCTGTGACAGATCGAACCACCATTCACACTTCTATTCAAACTAATAGAACAGATTCTTCCCCCGCACCCAAAGACCCCTGACCAAAGAAAGCAGCCTTGGCCAATGTTCCCTGGCAGTTGGCCTGGTGACAGGACAGGGGGTGTCTGGATGCCCCTCTAAGCCCGGCCCAGGGCTGAGCCTCCTCCACCACACACGGTCACTGTCCAGCAGTCCTGGCACAAAGTTAGAGGGAAAGGGATGGCCAGAGACCACTTGGCTTGTGGAAAACGGGGAGCACAGCCCAAGATGAGAGAGGCAGCCCAAGGTCACTGCCTGATGGCGCCAGAGGCAGGCAGACACCCAGGCCACTTGGCTCCCCTTCTGGCTGTGTGGTCAGAACCCTGCGGCCTCAGTAGCCTGCCAGGCACAGAAAACCATAACCGTCACTCCATGCCCAACCCAGCACAGGCTCCAAGTGAGATCAAGTCCAAGGAGCCTCTTCCTTTGAGAGTAAAGAGTTGGCTGGACCACTGGTGTCTGGCAGCCCTGGAGGAGGAGAGATGGATTCTGTGTATCTGACCTTATCTATCAGGAGGGAGTCCCTCAGCTTCAAGCACCCGCTGGCATCCTTCCCCAAGAAGGGGAGACTTTAGGGCCAGGGGGAGTTGCTTGGAAGGAGGACCCCTTCTACCCTCAGCCTCAGTCTCCTCTGATCCTTTCTTTCTGACCATATGTTCAAGCACTGGGCCCCTGGCTGAGCTAGCTCTGTGTCACGCACTGGGCAATGGCTGTGTAGACAGACAAGAAGGCCACAGCTCCAGCACCCCATGGCACAGAGAAGGAAGACACTGGTGCTTAGTAGCAAGAATGAGAGTGATTAAATAGCCAGGGAAGACAGCACAGGAAGGAAGCAGGCAGGGTCCTGGGAGGGAATGGAGGGGAAAGGATTGATCAGGCCAGGCTTTGATCAGGAAGGCGAGTGGAGGGGGATGCCCAGAGACAGACCATGGCTGGCATAGAGAGGGCAGCCCAGCAAGGTGTAAAGGGGCAGTCAGAACCACACCTAGACCCTCTCTGGCTTCCTTCGGCTGGATACTTGCACTCGGCCAGGGCAGGGTCAGGAGTGCTTGCCCAGGAGCCTCCAGCAGACAAACAGGCAAGTCCTCCTGCCCACCCCCTTCTGGCGCAGAGCAGAGGTTTCTGGTTCCCCACTCACTCCCACTCCCCTTGCCCAGCACCGTTGGTTGGCTCGCTGCCCTGCCTGATTCCAACCCCAGGAAGAACAACGAAGGCTAATTGTCCCCAGTGAGCTGCAGGGAGTCACCCAGCAGCCAGGAACAAGGATGCCACCCTCTGGGGAGGTCAGCCTGCTCCAGGTTCCCCTCTTGTCTCAGGACCCAGCCGGGCCCCATCCCCTTTTTCTTTTCTTTCAACCTGGAAAACCAAAGCATCTGACTCAGGGTCCAAGGCGGCTGGTTTGGGATCTTTGGGGTCTTCCTGGCCAGCTATGGCAGGCTCTTGGGCAGTGGGCAGATCTGGGCCGGCTCCAAGCAAATGCGAGCAGCTACTCTGCTTGCTCCATTGAAACCCCCACGCACCACGGGGCAGGAAGCCCTTCTTCCACCCCCGCCCTAGGCAGAGGGAAACCTGTCCCAGGTCTGCGGTTAAATGCTGGGGGAGCGGGTACAGGGCCTCCATTCTCTTCCCCAGAGTTCTCTCCCTCTCCTCGGTCAGCGCCCCTCGCCTCCTGGAGCGTCTCCAGCTTGCGGAAGGCCAGCTGCAGCCTCAGGAAGCCGGGTCCGAGTTCCCCCTAGGGGTGGGGTCGGGGGAGACTGTTCAGAGACCCCAGCACCCCACCCGCTTCACCGCCGTCCCAGAAGCAAAGCGCGCCACCCTGGGCCCGTCCCTCTTCCACTCTCCCTGCACCGCGGAGCCCCGGGCGAGCCTGGGGAGCAGACGCAACAGATTGCAGAGCTCAGGAGCGCCGAGCCCGCTCCCTCCGCGCTCGGTCCGCGGGCCCGGCCGGCTGCCCGGACCCCCGCCCTCCGGGCTCGGCTAGGCCGGCCATTTAGATGCAGCTCACAGGCCCGCGGGCGGGCGAGTGGCAGCGGCTCCCGGGCCCCTGCCGGTCCACTTCCTTCGCGAGGACAGCCGCAGGAAGCGACGCGGCGGGCCGTGCGGCGCCGCACCGGCCTGCGCGCCAGGGCCAGGGGTACACTAGAGCCCCCGCGATCCCGACAGTTCCCAGCCCGGCCGTTTGCAGCGGGAGGATGCGGGTGATAGGGGCGGCGGCCGGGGGGAGAGGTAGCGGATCCCCGGGCTCTCCTCTGGTTTCCCGTGGGCAGACACGCCCCCAGACTCTCGGGCTTGGACCCTTCTTCCTAACCCGGGGAGGCTTGGAGGGACCCCCTTCGCTCCTCGTTTCCACCTCGGTCCGGTTCTCAGCCTCTGCTCCCTCCGGAGGGAGGGAGGGCATAGGAACCAGCGGTCACTCGAGCTGCTGCCCGAGACGCCAAGCTGGGAGCGGCGACTGCGAGTTGGGGTGGGGGTTGGGAGTGGAGCTGGCGGGGGGTCCTCCTTTCTTCAATCCTCCCGGCGCCCCCTCCAGCGGCTCCCGCCGCATCTTCACCCGCGAGTCTGCGCCGCGACACTTACCGTGGGCGAGCAGCGCGGAGAGGCAGAGCAGGGCGGCGCCGCCGCGGCCCGACATCCCCGGGGCCATGGCCGAGGCGGGGGCGGGAGGGGCTGAGGGGGCAACAGCCGACGACGACTTGGCCCCGGGATGGGCTCGGTCACATCCAACTCGGGATGGCCGGTGCGCCCGGCTGTCTGCTGAGGCGTGTGGTAGGGGGGAGGGGGCAAGCAAGTGCAATTCGGGGACACTTTGCGGGGAGGGGGCGTCCCAGGCGCCACCGGCTACACCCTCGGAAGTGGTGGGGGCGCAGCTCCGGGCGGGAGGAGCCTCGGCCGCCCCCAGGCTGGTGCCCCCTGCAGGATCCGCGGAGCCAGCCGGGAGCCGCACGTGCGGTCCCGGGGCCGGGGGCCGCTCAGAGCCCAGTCCCGAGTGCCCCGGGCCCGCGGCCCAGCTCCAATCCCAAGTGGCACGAGGGTGCAGCTCTCCAGCGCCGACCCCAGTCCCCTCGGTTTCGGAAGTAACCCCACATGGATAGCGCGGCTTTCTTCCTCCGAGCGCCCTGCAGCAGCTTCAGCATAAAAATCCCAGGTCAGGTGCCAAGGAACGGTTTCTTTCGCAAAGAAAGAGAAAAATCCCGGCAACTTTAATCCACTCGGAGAAGGAAAAGTTTCCGTGCAGCGCTGAGACCGCCGACGCCCAGACGGAACGCCCGAGGCGGGCGGCCAGTTGTCTGTCCCCTCGCTCGGCTCGCGCTTGGGCTCCAGCGCGCGCTCTCTCTCTCTCCAGCCTCGATCAGGGCTCGGGCTCGACGCAGGCCAGGCTCAACGTGGCGGCCCGCCCCGGGCAGCGGATCGGCGGCCGGGGTGAGGGTGGCGTGGCCGAAATGGGGTGCCTGGTGGCCAGAGGAGCTTGGAGGAGCGAGGGAGCTGGAAAGCCGGCTAATGCGCCCTGCCGCGAGTCCCTCCTATCCAGGGCGTCGACCGCAGCCTGCCGCTCACAAACGACACAGGATGGGCAGGGGCTCGGCCCGCCCGCTCCAGGCCGCCCCTCTCCTTCGCAGGGCTCGCCACCTGAAGCTGAGGGGCGCGCTGCCTCGCCGCGCTCCTCGTCTTCCTGGGGTGCTCGTGGGGGGAGACCTGCACGAACCTTGAACTTTTCCGGGGTTCAGAGTCTCCGACGCCGCCTCCGTCTCCCCTCCTCCCCCGCCTTGCCCCCGGACGCCCGTTCGCCCGCTGTGGTGGTGCAGCCGGGCATCGGCGGTGCCCGCTCTCTTCGAGTCAGTTTGGGCGAGCGGATCGCCGCGCCAGTCCGGGCTGCAGGAGGCGAGACGCGTGCGCGGCGCCAGGGACCGGGGCACCCGGCACCCGCGCAGCCCACGGCTGGGAAGGCCGAGCGGAGAGGAGGTGCCGGCAGGGGGGCCGGCTCCCCGTGGACCTGTGTGGGGCTGAGGTGAGAAGAATCGGGAGCAAAAGGGAAGAGGAGGCGGCGGGTAGCCACAGTTGCACGAAGCCGCCGCCGCCGCCTCCTCGGCGCTCGCGCCGGCTGTTCCGCCGTAAATGACTCGAAAGAGACACACACTCGCGCTCGCCCGCCCTCCTTCCCCGACCGGGATTCAGCGCCCACCCGGGCAGTGGCGGGCGCCGCGCTGGGCGCGCTCGCTCCCCTCCCCTCGCAGGGTCCCCGTGGTCACGTGGGTCCCGAGCGCGCGGCCCACGGCTCGCGCGCCACGGAGAGCCCCCTCCCCGCCGCCCCCTCCGCCGTCCACGTGTCCATTCCGCATTCCCAGCCTTGGGGGCGCGCGCCGCTGCTTAATGAGACTCGGGCAGGGGCCGACGTTGCGATTCCGTTCTCCGGGGGTTGAGGTTTTATTTTTCCCTCTCCGACGCGGACTGGCGTTGGGACCGGAGTAGGGCCTGGCGGCTGCGGCGGCTGTGCCGCTCCCCGGTAGCTGCATCAGCCGCCGCCGCTGCTGCAGTAGCCAAGGTCCCTTTTCAGAGGCTGTAAGCTTCCCTCCGGGCGCCGGAGGTGTTTTGCAACCGTTCTGCCAGAGGCGCGGGTAGGGGGCACCCTAGCCCCCATCCCCAAAGTCAGCGTGAGGGTTTCCGGGTGGGAATCAGCCTAGCTGCCGCGCTCGGCTCTTGCGGGCAGCGTGGGAGCTCTAGGGCTTGGCTTCTGCGGGGATGGGGTGGAGGGCGCAGCTGGGGAGAGACCGAGTACTCTCCTGGGCGGGGGTGGGGGGGCGGGAGAGGAGATGGAGAGGAAGGACCGGGTCCTCCTACAGGTTGTTTTGCAGATCTCTTGGAGGGGGGGGCCTGAGTAGGGGTTGGGGAATTACCCCCTGGCACACTCACCCAGTCACCTGCTGAAGAAGAGGCTGGGCTGGTGGCGCTCCTTCCCACCATCAGGCCAGGTCCATTAGGGCACACTCTAGATCAGACCCTGCAAGTCAACCGTCAATCAGACCCTGGATCAATGGCAGTGATTGGGTGTCACGCCCCAGCCCTTAGAGACCAGGTCTGAGTGCAATCCTACTCCAGAGGGACAGGGTCTTTAACACCGCAGGTTTAATACCCTTGTGCAAGAGAGCTGTTTGAGGGTCGTCTCTCGCCATACCTCTGCACCTAACCAGGTAGAGAATGTGGGGCCAGGCAGGTCAGCGCAAGGTCCACTGGGGCCTGGTCTCTGCTCCCCTCAATCATGTGCCTGACTGATTCTTAGCCCTTTTGACTCTGACTTTCCTTTTCATCCAGAAGAGTGACTTTGTTTTTGGATGTTGTTGCTGGAAGCCTTCCTATTCCCTGGATGCTGGCTGACTGGCTGACAGTGGCCTCAGCTTGATTCTGGGGCCAGGGGAGCCCCTCCCCCACGTCTGTCTCGGAGCTCCTGGAGGCCCTGAGGATGGAAGTTGCTATAGTAGTTCAGAGAAGATGAGTTCTCATTAGGTCCCTATGTTTGATGGCAATTAGTGTCACCCAGGGCTTATTCACCCTCTCACTGCTGAGGCAGACCAGTCATGAGGCTGGGGGGCGAAGTGGGAGTGGTGGAGGGAAGGCCAGCTTCTGACACATGGCAGGTTCCAGGAAAGAGACAGGGAGTCCTTCTGCTCTGCCCACCAGCCCACTGGCGGGACCCAGATCTGAGGAAGGCCAGAGGAAAGAGACGAGAGTCCCTCTTGGGGATGCAGTGTCCCTCTTGTATGGGTCTGCGGCTGACCCTAGGATCTGAGGGCACAGCCAAGTCAGCCTGCACTCTGATCACCTTTGGGAAACTGAACCCAGGACACAGATCCGGGTCTTCTCTGTGCCCCTCTGTTCTCAGGTGACAAGAAAGGAGGCTCTGCTCGCCTTCTCCTCTCTGCAGTCTTCTCCCTTTTACAAGAGTATCTGAAACGTCACAGTCACAGCAGTGGGCAATCTTCTGTGCTTGGGTTCTAGAAGCAAGGCAACACCGGGCTTACATGGGTTACAGCGGTGATGCTGTGTGGCATCATGCCCACTCGCCTGTGGTCAGGAAGGATGCAGCCACAGCTATCTTTAGAGGGTCCTGTCCTTCCTGGACCTCCTCTCTGAACCTACTCTTCATGAACCAGGAACCGTCTGTCCAGGCAGCCTATCTGATCTTCCTCTGATCTCCAGATACAACCTCTTCCTTCTCCCTGCCTCAGAGACACCAAAGCTGTTGCTGCTCAGCATAGGAAATAGGTCTGACTCCCTCTCCTGGGCCCTGTGGACCTGCTCCTCTGTCCAGTGCAAATTCTAGGACTCAGGAGAAAGCAATAGCAGGAAGAAGGCAGAGCCACCAGTGTACTTGTTCTGACTCCATGTGCCACCTGTCTGAAAAAGTGGCCACCTACTCCCTCAGCCTTTCTTGTCACATCAACATCTGCCTCTGGTCTTACCCATGAGTCCTAAACAGTGCTGCTGGTACCTAGCTGGATCATGGTCAGTGGAGCAGCCAGTCTGGGGACCTTGCAGGTGTGTAGCCCTCTGTCCCCCTAAGCCCCGTTGTCTTCCCACTCCGTTGGACACTGCATGTGTTTCTAGGCAGATGACTACCAGAGGTTGAGGTGTCTGTTGTAAGCTCCTGAATGATGCCTAGAGCAGCTTAGTCTCTTGCCACGTGGCCAGGCAGCAAATAGGACTCAGAACCTCAGCACCCTGCATGGCCTGGAGCAGATAACTTTGTTCACTGGCTCACCTCCCCACTGCCCTTGAGGATGCCCCTACTTTTCAGGATGCCTGCCTATTGGAGCTGGGACAGGCCCAGTGCATGGAGCGTTACTGAAGTGTGTCTGTGGGGTTATCCTCTCCAGCCAGAAGCAGGCTCAGAGACTCCCTAAGCTGGCTGTCCAGCTTTTATAACTGCAAAAACAGAGGCCTGTTCCTTCAGTCCTTTTATCAGGCTGCAATGATGTCACTTCCTTAACATTCTCCACCCAGGCTGCCTTCACCCCCGATACATGTCTTGGCTGACCTGCCTCCTCCTGTGCCTCATTCCCTGCAGTAGACAGAGTTTCTACACCTGCCCAACCAGCCTCTCCTTGCCTGATGGGCCTTGGGCTGATATTTGAGAACCCTGATCTCCCCCTTTGCTTCCTGCCATCCAGTCCTGCAGGATGGTTCCAACCACATTTCTCGTCACTCCAGGCCCAGAGAGAGCCAGTGATGGGCCAAGTCCATGTACTCGGCTACTGCCCAGATGGGAATATGACCTTGTATGGGGATGGACCTACTCCCTGCCCCAAGTGGCCATCGCCACTGCAGATGCGAGCACCAATTTCTCTGCTGGGGGATGAGGCTCAGCCCTAATACGATGTGGCCTTAGACTCCGGTTCCTGCAGCTGTACTCCTTCACTCATTCATCCATTCAGTTGGCCTCACCTTGCACCTTCTTCCAGAATTCTGCTCATAGCCCCATCCCTAGTCTGTGCACCAGTAGGGTTCTGTGCTACTCGTATGGGAGTGGCTGTCAGATTGTAGAATTCCTGTCTCGTCCCAAAGAGAACTGACCCAGGAAGGCAGGTGCTGTCTGGGTTGTTCTCCCAACATTTCTCCCTTTCCTGACATCTGTGCAGCTAATGGCTGTTGAGGAAACGAGTCACTCACCCACTGCTGTGTATCTAGGGGTATCAGAAGGCCAGGAGTGATGCAGGAGAAGGAAGGTTGGCTGGTGAGATGAAAGAAGGGCAAGCTGGAGTAGACCAAGGGAATGGGGAGAAGAGGAAGAGAAGAGGGTGTTGCAGGAACAGAGAGCAGCTTTTGACAGCCTGGAAGCAGGGAAGATCCGGCCTGAATAGGAAACTGTGGTTCAGCGTGTGGCTGGAGCCTTTGAGAGCTGGGGTGAAGCTGGGAAAGGAGGCTGGGATAGTAGCAGGCACAGTGAGCCCCGCCCTGCACACTCACGGT